TTATTAATTATATATTATTAATTATATAAGTCTTTATATGTTCTTTACAGAACAATATTAGCCATCGATATTAGTTCTACTGTCTGACTGCCTAATATTCTTCTACCTGATTCAAAAAGGTAGAATATAAGTAACATTTCTAAGAGATATATAAAATAAAGTAGTACAAAGCCACTGGCTTTACTTAGAAAAGAACTTCATCAGACAACATATGAAAATAAAAACATATGTATACCTTACAACCAATGTTATTTTTATTCCCTTTCTTTTGACGTAATACAAGTAGCAACTCACTTGCAAACAAAATATCATTTTCACTTTTTATATATAACAACAAAATGTATCTTTGGGGGTTTTGTTTATGACTGTCATATCACACGATATAAATTGCCATTATAGAGGTTTTAAATCAAGAACGTCTCTTTTATTTTTGTTTCTTTGCTTTTTGTTTCTGTACACTTGCTTCAGACAGATCTAAAGCAATGCTAAAAAGCAAAAAAGACCAAGTGTGTGGCTGTGGTTTTTATCCTACAGTTGGCCACTAGATGGTGCCTTCTCCTCCGAAAAAAAAAAAGAAAAAAATGTAGGGAGCCCAGAAAACAAAGCTCTATTACTGAGGAATTATCTAAGAATGACCATTTGAAAAGGATGTTTCAATGAAGAAATGGAGCCTTGTGGGAAGAAATGCTCTTTCACCAAAAAATATTTGAACCTTATTTCTGAATTAGGAGAACTTCGTTGATTTTCATGTGAATTTTAGGACCCTCTGCCATTTTAGAATGTTCCACTGGGTGGTGCACATGTATGTGTAGCAAGAAAAACACACACAGCTTAAGTCATTTCAAAATTTAACCCAAAAATATGACATTAAAGGTGCCAAATTCAAATATTATTGACATTTTATGCCAGGGCCCCAATTTTTCATCATATCCTATTCCATATTTGATCTTTCTAAATCTTTATAGAAGAAAGCTTAACCTGATATTTCTTTCATCATTCAGAACAATAATTATTTAACACTAATTATTCTCGTTTGATGAAGCAGTCTTATCATTAAAATAGGATTATATACTAAAATATATTTTGCATTACTGATTATAAATGTGATCTCCTTGTTCTTGAATCATAATAATTAAAATAAACTCCTGTATTTTCTAAAGTCTGTGGATGTTGAAAAGAATATTAGTTAAGTTTGCTATGTCATTGAGTATGTCATCAGGAAATAAATTTTAATATTTTAAGAAGAATAATAAGGTATGATCTCCTTGATATTTTATATACATCAAATACGCACATCTTCTATCAGAAGTTCTGATTCTGCATCTGACTTTCCTGGAAACCGGATCTTCATGTCCTTGAGAACAAATAAGGTCTGACTTGTTAGATCGTCTTCTTGTTCTTTTGTTTTCAGTTTCCGCAAAGAATCACTCTTAAATTTGAAAGAATACAGATATTTGGAGGGGATCTTATTTCATTGTGCCAGTATAATCTGAAAGACATTTCTAGGTAAAAATGATGCACTTTTAATTGAAAAAAATAACAATGAAAAAGGAAGAAATTTTTTTTTTTACATTTATAAATTCTTAAGATTAAATGGATATGATTCCCAAGAATGTCTTTCCCACTTCTACACGCTTATATTTTTTGGCTCAAAATGCCAAAATAAAAATATGAGTATTCAAAAAGGACTTCCTGGTCAATTTCATTTATCACATATACCTTTGGCAAATCTTGATTAGAAAAAAAATCCATCATTGTTACCAAGTGAAATTCATTCTCTTATATTTCCTGACTCTTCCCTTTGGAAACACCATCCACATCAAATAAACAAATTAAATAAATCCCTAGTCTAGGTAAAGGCACTTGTCTAGCTGAGCATCTAAAAGTAAGCCTGCTTGCAAATATTAATAAATTCACTACTTCCTGAATACTCAATCTCTGGAATTCATGCTGAGGAGGGAATACTTTATGTTAATTTAATATATAGAAAACATTATAAATAACAGTGTACTTACGTGTTCTAAGGAAAATTTATCTATCATTTTTTTAACCTACTAATCAACTATACCCTTAAGTAAAATTTTCCATAAAACAAATTTCCTCAAATTTACAGATAAACTGCACAATACACTGCAAAACCACACATTTACTCAGGTGATTTTCAACAATATTATACTACTACATTAGCAAATGGAAAATAAAATAATGCTATTCTTAGTGTCCATCTTCAAGTTTAGTGATATAGTGGAGTCTGCCTTTTAAGACTCCATACTAAATTTTAGGCTAAGATAGATGAATAATGCAAATTCCAGGAGGCCATGAGTTGGACTGTAGAAAGGGTCTGAGGTTCAATCTGTCCTCCTCTCATCCAATCCCCTTTGTCACCTAGATTCTAAGTACAGGGCTTCCTGCAATCTTGAAAGAGCAAAATAGTTGACTTACCACCTGTGAGTTGATAGAGCTGACTTCGTTAGTGTGAGGCAGATGCCTTGTGTAGGAGGAAGCACGGTTTAAGGAATGTGACCGAGACGCTGAAGCTGGCCGTGGTACAGATATCACTTGTTGAGCAGAAAAAGGGCGGCTGTCCGCACTGGAAGGTGACTGAACAGAGATGGACCTTGGGCAGCTGACTGAGCGACGTATGGAGCCTATCGATGATGAAGAGGGGTAATATAGCAGCAGTGTTAGTACAAGTGTCCCATGTATTAGTTCTACATAAACTACCCCCATAATAACCCAAATAAATTAAATAAATAAATACATACCAAAAAAAATAAAGATTAGACCAGGCAGTAGCACAGTGAAATAAATGTCAAAGCATAGGCACCATCATTAGAATACGAGTTTGGAGTAAATCTTTCAATTTAAACAGTGAACTTGTTGCAGAACCCCTGTGACATATAGATAATGGCTCTTATGGGAATAATACTATAAATAGTATTTTAATGTTATATTCTCAAAATATGACATAAAAGAACCAGAAGAAAGGAAAATTAACATTTATGGAGCACCTTCTCTAAGCCAGGCACTGTGCTAGGTGCTATACTTTTATCTTAATCCTCCCAGAAACCCTCCGAAGTAGGGATCTCTGTTGCCCAGAGACTCAGAGAAAGAATTTTCTCAAGGTCACACAGCAAGAAAGTGGCCAAGCTCAGGTTTCAGTTCTGACCTATCTAATTCCAATGCCCTCCCTCTTTCTATAGTACCATGATGTATCACCCACCATCCTTGGGATCAAACCAGTCACTTATTAGAATCTGTGTATAGATTGGAGATTGCATATTTTACATCAAGATTTATAGGGAGGCTGGAAAGGAGTCTAGAGAGTGACCAGGCCAAACAGATAAGTTATAGAGCTTCAGGTCCATGAGAAAAAAATAATGAAACAGAAGAAAATATAGAGATTATCCTAATGGAGTTTAAATATATAATTGGTCATTCTAAGAGTAGTACTAAATAGTTTTCTTATTCAAAAGAGGAAAGAATTTTAAATTAGATTAAGTTTCAATAGTAAAAGATTTAAGTGAAGAAAAAAATGTATGGATCTATAGGATTGTTATCAGAATAAATACGTAGGGAAAACTATTTAATATAAAATATCTTCCCTAATGCATACTGAGAACATTTAAGAAAGAGAATCAACTATTCCAGATAAATTTTGATGCCTGACACAGGGAAATAGATTACCTAATAATACCACCAACATTTTAATTTTTTCAAACTCATATGTTCTATATATCCTCTGTTCTATATTCTCTCTCTGCTCGGGGAATATATCAATCTTCATTAATTAAATAACAATAAAACTCACATGAAGTCATGTTGAATACCCAAATATTTCTCTTCATTAGCTGTTGAAAAAAATTTAAACCTTTACAAAGGCATAGATATTAACTTTATACTTAGGGATGTATTTCTAAAAAATAGCCTAATATTCCTCTCATTTAGATTCTAGAGGGTACGCAATAGGATACTCATAAAAGCTATAAAAGATGTTTAAAAAGACATTTCTCTCTGTTCTGTTAACTTCCTTCTGAATCTGAAAATCACAACACTTTTTGAAAGGACACTGCTTCTAGAGAGAGCTATGTGAGAAACGTTACCACTGGTCAATGTTTTCTTTCTTTTTTACAAAGAACTGCACATATTTAATATTTACAAAGGTCAAACTTATACTAAGAAAATACCCAAAAGCATGTACAACTAACTACCTTCTAGTCCTGCTCCCTTTGAGGGCTTAAAAAGGTAACGGTTTGGTTGCGTATAACCTAATTATAGGGCAAAAGGAAAATATCCCTTCTCTTGAATCATCACAAATACCCATTTTTCACCTACACACATTGAAAATTCAGACGGAATAACTAAGTAGCTAGACATGCCAATGATGTTTGGGTAGATTAACAAAAATATTTGTAACTTGCATCCCCAAATTATGTGAGAAAAATATTTATATAGTTTTTATATGACTACCTTATATCAAACCAAAATATACCCCTTTGATGCTATAACAAGTTTGAATTTTTCAAGTTAACTGTCTACAAGAGAAAATGTTATACATAATCGGGATTTTGTCCTTAGTAATCAGCATCACTCTGCAGACAGAACTCAAGGAGGATTTGTGGCTATGATATTCCTTAGTATAGGGTTAAAGAGAGAATATAAAACAAAGTGAAACCCTTGTGATAATTCCTCATGAGTATAAAAAGAAAATATAACTGATAAGGAAAAGGATATGTAATTGAATTAGGCCGGCTTTAAAATGAGAACTCACACTCAAAAGTACTTTTTAAATCTGTGTCATATTTTAGTACACTATTGTCAGATCTCAATTTATTTACCCATTGGCCTGAGAACAAAGAACAATCTCAGAGCTCTAAGAACCTTAGCAATTTTTTCTCTATCCTATCCCTATGCCTCATCAATTCATGCTGTTAGGGATGTGCACATTAGCTAATAGGAAAGGGATTTAAACACTAACAAAATCTGGGCAGAAAAACGTCAGCTTCCAAAACTAAAACAGAACCATACTTATACAAAGACACACTGAAAGTATTCAAGGAATCCTTAAGAAAAAAAGGAAACAACTGAGAAAATAGTTTACAAACTCTGGGACAGGTGCTCAATAAACATCTCTTAATCAGTGGTCCCCAACTTTTTTGGCATCAGGAACCAGTTTCATGGAAGACAACTTTTCTACAGAAGTGGCGGGAGGAGGCGGAGCTCAGGAGGAGGCGGAGCTCAAGTGGTGATGCAAGCAATGGGAAGCTGCTATAAATACAGATGAAGCTTCACTCTCCTTTGTTTGCCCGCTGCTCACCTCTCGCTGTGAGGCTCAGTTCCTAAGTTTCATGGAAGACAATTTTTCCACCAACATTGGGAAGGTGTGGGGGTGGGGGGCAGCGCTCAGGTGGTGATGTGCAGCCCAGTTCCCAACAGGCCACGGATCCATACCGGGCAACAGCCCAGGGGTTGGGGACCACAGTCTTAAATGAGTAAATAAATAAATGAAGTGGAACATAATACATTATTTCTTCTCTATATAAACCCTCAAAGACAGGAACAGTAGCACCATGTATCTTTATGAAATAATTTGGAAATAAAGGAAAGACCATTGCTCTAAAATTGGTTCTTCATTCCTCATACATTTTGCCATAAGCATGGGAGGCCAATTTTAAAATATACACCTTATCTGGAAAGTTAATGTATTAAACCATTGTTGGAGATCAACAAGGGCTCACGATTGTGTTTATTGCATTATTGAACTGGTCTCCTTAGTGGAACCATAAGACAGTGGAACATAAGGCAGACAGAGGTATGAGAGACAAGAGTTAATTAAAGTCCTGGATTGGAGGCAGCATCAGAAGGGGGTTTTCCAAGTGAATCCGTGAAAACAGCAACAGTACATTGCACATGTGGGGATAAAGGAAGAGTAAGAGACACAGTATTGGACGCTTGAGATTAAAGAAGAAATGAAAAGTCAGAAAGTAACAGAGAGAAAGAGAATGTGAAAAGAAATAAAGGTAGAAGGAGAGAAAAGGAAGCAGGAAAGGAAGGAGATGGAGAAGCTGGTTGGTTGGTCTCCTAAATACTTTCCAGGCACCAAATGCCCTGACTTAGGTGTTCACTGTGATGAAAATGGGAAGGAACAAAACTTCCAACTATTTCAGTTATGTGACTCACAGATACATTCAAGTCAAATATTCAGAGAGATAGATACATTTTTTAAAAATAGGTGATAGTTTAAAACATAGTGGGTGACAGAGAGGAAGGAATGGAATGAGACAGAATATGCTCGCTTAAAATAGAATTAATCAGCATATCAGCCATGAAGCACATTTTATAAAACCCATGCAAAAATCTGGCACTTAACGAAAATTATGAAATATAGAAGAATAGATCCTTAATTCAGCCCTTTTGTTTTCTACTTGCAGAACCTGAAAGGGGTTGAGGGATGTGCCCAGATCCAGTTGGGGAAGGAAGTGGGATAGAATCCAGGTCTCCTCACACACGACGACAAGGGTTCATTTGGCCCAAGGACCTTTATTGAGTTCAGTAATTTCAGTTCCATAATTCTTCACATAACACGTAAATTAGCAGAAATTGACTTACTGGGTTGTTGAATTAATTTGTAGTGGTTGGGCTGTTTAAGATTATATGTAACTTCCTTTTCTCTTTTCTTATTTTGATACTCTTCTTTTTCATTTTCGTCGTATTCCGAAGAGCTGCTGCCACTGTCGTAACTGCTGTCGCTGCTGTAGTACTTCTGTCTTTTCAATATCTCACTACTCTCAGGCATAGAACACAGAGGCTAAAAGAGAGGGAAATGTATTACTTTGTTAGAATTCCAAAAAACATCGGCTTATTAACATGATTAGTTACTATTTTTAATTTCCCCCTTATGCTTGCTGCTTTTCACAGAAGGCTGAGAATCCCCAAAGTGCTACTGCTCTTGTCTGCTTAGCCCACAGTGCGAGTCACTAATCGCTCTCTCTCTGCAAATTATTCTTTCCTACATGATATAGCTCATGATTTCCTCAATGAGGAAAATGCTGTTTCTGTATGATTGAAATAAAGGGCTAGAGTATCCATAAACAAAAAATAATAAAATAAAGGAAAAATATTTGAGATAAAATGTAAAAATCAGAAACATCATCAGCTTTTATTTATTCCCTACAGAGATTACTCAATGAGACTCAGAGATACAGCTTTGTTGTATCATTAACATTCAGAGTTTATGTGTATATGCATACATGTACGTGTGTGTGTGTGTGTGTGTGTGTGTGTGTGTGTGAGCTGGGGAGGAGAAGCAGGGGCAAGAGGGGCAAAAAGAATAAAAAAGCAGCAGCCAGAGAAGTCACTTTACATAAGGGCGCATCTTAAAATAGCCTATGAGCCTATCCACTCAGATAATGTAAAGCACCAAGTTAGGCATTCCTCGCATGGCTATATTGGCTGTGGATATTTATAAAAATAAAAACTTTTAGTTAATTACCCACTTTCTAAATTGGTCAGGAACAACTCATGTCTTTTCGCACAGCATTCCTAAAACACAGGTTCTGGCCATAATGGAGTAACATAGCTTTTCGTTGCCCATGCTACATTTTTAAAAAATGATATAATGTGAAAATCAGTGTGGCATATTGAGAGGATAGCTGCCATGTAAAAGGGTAAATCTGTAAAGATTCAAAATGCCATGCTATCGTGTTCCAATATCTCTATTAGAATCACTTGTTTCCAGTCTTCCCAATCAATGTGTTTCCAATGACGCCAGGTGAAGGAATAGAAGGGAGGTGGGACAGTTTCACTTCACAAAGAATGCGCATAACCGAGAACAAGACAGTTTTGCAACTTAGTCATTTTAAGAGACTATTTCTTACACACACCATATGCCTCCTATTCCTGCTGGGAGAGGTTCTTACAGTTGTATACTAGTTGCTTGTTCTCTGTTAAATCAAACAATGTTTTGACGTTAGCATACACTGTAATGAAACCCTTGGATAGCATGGGATTTCACTGAAAGAAGGTATATCCTCTACTGTAAGAGTGAAGGATGAAAGATAAAGAGAGAAATAGCATTTCATGAAGTGCCTGGAATACATAGTAAGCCAAAGAATGATCTTCTTAAATTTACAGCCTTTGCAAAGGATAAAAAATAACCAAAGCGGGAAAGTAGTTTTTAATACACTAAGGTACCAACTTGTGTTTAAAAGTATGTTCTCTTTTTGATGGTCTAATATTTACTGAGCACTAACAATGTTCAAAGAGATATGCATAAATACATTTACCAGTAATACAATCATCAAACATTTCGACAGTCTTGGGGAATATGAATTCTAGAGGAAGGATGTTTCTTCAGAAGCTTAGCATACCCAGAAGAAACAGTGGCACAATCAGGCTTGCTAGTAGTGCCTTCCTTCACGTAGCAAACAGCTTTAAGATTTCTTAAGGAGCTTGACTACGTAATGAGTTATTCGACCCTATAAAGAATCACAAGGGGAAATGGATAGCTGAACCTTGTGTCTTATATGCATTTGGGACGTTTTGACCAATACACTGTTTAAGCAATAATTAATTAGAAGTCACAGAAGTATAAACTCTAAATAGTGCCTTAACTACAAATGGAATTTGTATTTAAATTTACAATTTGTACGTACAAGCAGAATTTGTAAACTGGCATTGAGTTGTGAGATACCATATTACTTATTTTTATGTCCAATTTTATTATGAAATAGGCCATATATAAAATATGTATAAATATATAATGTATAAAGAATAATAAAACAAATACCCACATACCTACCACCAAACTTAAGGAACATTGCTAATATTTTATGTATTTATTATTTATGTAGCTAATTAACATTTCTTAAGTTCTCAAATAAGTGCAAAGTTATTATGTCTCCTAGTGTAAGTACATGTTTTATTTAACCTTGATTACTCCAATTATTCTTCTACCAGTAAAAGCACTGGAAACCAGCGTTTGGCATGTGGTATCATCCCTCTAAAAGGGAAGAGCTGCTTTGAAGTTTGGCTCACTTTAAACATTTAGTAAACACAAAGATAAAAGTTATAAAAATGCTTCTACTTCAGATTGATTATGTTGTTTTCTAACACTTTGAAACATTTCTTGGCTTTAACAACTACAGGAACTATACAGTTCATTTCATTTCAACAAATACATTGTTAGTTCCCACGACTTGTCTAGAATAAGGAAGTTGGAAAAAACATACAATGTGAATTCTGGCCTCCGAGAGTTTATAGTTTTGTTTGGATGACAAGCCTTATATAAATGAAACACAGGAAACTATTCAACAATATACAACTGTTATCAGGGGGTTTGCTTTTGCCATTCTACCAGGAACATTGTGCCCACAAATTGTCTCCTGTCTGGTTTGCTGAATTGCAATAATTAATATACAAAGCTTAGAAACTTCCTAGTATTTCCCAAAGTGATATCATGACTCATGAAAGTATTCACTTTTACATATATTTTAAAATATATTTGTTTGAAAGGAATTACCAACTATGTATTCTACAATGTCTCAATATAAAGCACATATTAATAATTTGGAACAATGTTTGACATACAAGATCTCCACCAGATGGGTATCTCTCACCAAGGCTCATCTTGTACCATTTCACAGTTCAAGAACCTTTCACTTGAATCATACCAAATTTTTCATCATTTCTACAACACCCTATGCAATTCCACACTTCCATGTCTTTTCTTAAATGTTCCCTTTACCTTGAATATCTTTCACCCCTCTTAAACGTTCAGAGCACTACTCATTTTTCAAGGTCCGGTTCAAATGGCACTGCCTTTCTGAAGCCATCCACATTCTCCCAACTCCTTTCTTCTCTATGCTGCTGTAGCACTTTACATCTCCCTTTATTACACTCCTTGCCACATTACACCCTGGTTTTTGGGCTACCTATCTGCTTTTCCACTAGCCAGTGAGGTTCTGTGGACACATTTAGCAGATTTAACTAATGGATTTTGAGAATTTACTATGTGTCAGACACTGTGCTAGGTTCTAGTGATACAAAGATGAAAATCTACTTGCTACCCTTGAGAAACTTACAAGCTCATACTAAGACAAACATGCAAATAATTATTTGTCCCCACTACTTTATAAAAGTGTTATTTATTGTACAGCAGGGGAAGGAGGGGAGACAAGATCTACCCCTAACTAGAGGAATGGGGGAAGGTTTCACAAAGGCAGCAACAGTTCAGCTGGATTAGGAACGGGTCTCTAATCAAGCAACAAAGCAATGATTTTTGTTAGTTGGCAGGCATTTCAGAGGCATGGAAAAGCATGAAAACATGACAGAGTATGATTTGTCTGAGGACATACAGGTAACTCAGTAATGCTGAAATATAAAGTGAAAGGAATTGAATGAAAAAAGTTTCCAAGATTTTTCAAATTCAACTCTTTCCTACTTTAATAGCAAGGACTTTGACATGTATCAGAAGAACATATGGATGTCATCACTACAGAATAGCTCAAGTAAAGCAAACACCTGCCCATTTCTGTCTACATGACAGCTTTCTATTTATTTGTAGGAACTGTACCTATTTTAACTAATACTATCAATGCTGTTAGAGCGGGCCAACCAATAGGGGTCTCTAGAGTCATGATTTGCCTTATCCATAATGCTATATATTTCTTTGATAATTATCTGTCTAGAGGTATGTGGAAAACTTAATACTTAGTTTATAATAAGTACTAGTTCTAGGTCCCTCTTGGCCCTGACTCACAGGGCTTTCACTAACATTAGGGAAAAAACCAAAATATGAAATAAACTAACAAAACAAAACTTCTCCTGAGTGTGAGATAACATCATCTTCCCAGCTCTACCTGCACTGGACGCACAGGTCCTTGAAAGCAGCACCAGTCATTCATATAAGAAATATCAAGGGGGAAAAAATAACAGTACTTAGTAGCATTTACTTTGATACTAAGGAAGGTAGAGATACTGCACCTTTGGTCCTCGAGGTTTGGCAGTTTTTCCCGTCAACTTTTCGTCATCAATTTCACATTGTTCCAGAAGATCCAAAATATCTGCCTCCTTCAAAAAATATTTTAATTAAAATTATGATCAGTAATAGACCCTAGAATTTTTCCAAGTTCATTAATCTCCACAAAATAATGTACAAAAAGATTCCTGAAACTATTTAGTGAGGATTACTCTGATCAAAGAAGGAGAAATAAAGGGTTATGGCAAACTCTCTTGAAGAAACTGGCAATATAAATAATACAGCTGAAATGTATTGTGTATTATTACCATAAACAACTGTATCCTTATACTCCAGTATACCATTAAAATATAAAAGTACAATACTTCAATAAGTTAGCCTATCATACACTTTAAAATTTCTGGGAGTTCACTCTGATTTTTTAGACTACAAGTTCATCAGCCATTTTTATACTGATTAGTGCATAATAATATTAAAACTCCAGACAGAAAACTGATGATTGGCCTAATAGTTTCACTTAGAAACAAGGTAATGTTAGTTTTTGCCAAATGAGCACTATTCAATGAAACTCTTTCAAAATTTAAACAATTGTACAAGAGTATTTTTAGAGCTTTATGAAGATTTTCATTTTATAGTCATTAATGGTGGTACAAATGCACAATGCCATAGTACCTTTCTTGTGCTCTTCTAGAGTCATTTTGAAGTCAAAAGGAAAAGTTATAAAAACATACACCCCAGTGGATATTTAGCAAATCAGAACAATAGGAGTATAATAGCTACACTGACAGAGCTATAATCTTTCATTGAGATATTTCTTTAACCTATAAAAATATCACAATTTTATCTACATATTTATGATTTATACTTCAATGTCACTTTAAAAAAAGATTTTTTTTTTTTTTTTTGAGACAGTCTCACTCTTTTCCCCGGGCTACAGTGAGTGCCATGGCGTCAGCCTAGATCACAACAACTTCAAACTCCTGGGCTCAAGTGATCCTTCTGCCTCAGCCTCCCGAGTAGCTGGGATTACAGGCATGTGCCACCATGCCCGGCTAATTTTTTTCTATATATTTTTAGTTGTCTGATTAATTTCTTTCTATTTTTAGCAGAGATGGGGTCTCGCTCTTGCTCAGGCTGGTTTCGAACTCCTGAGCTCAAACAATCCGCCTGCCTCTGCCTCCCAGAGTGCTAGGATTACAGATGTGAGCCACCGCACCCGGCCTAAAAAAAGATTTTTGAAGAAACTAGAAATCTCATTGTGCAGTAGAAATTTGTAAAATAAGTTCTTTGTCCCAATCTAAGGAAATTTAGCTATTAAAATACCAAAAGTCTCTATTATAAAGTTTTAATTAAATAATAATCCTACAATGAATTCCATGGATAGCAGCACAAGATGGTTAAGAAGAAACTCAAAGAGTTCTTGAGATCATAACAGACAATACTTTCATCACAACAGCTAGAAAAAGCCAGATAAGCTATACAATCATACTTTTCAAAACTTCAGAAAGCCATAGATAAAAAGTAATGCAAAGAAACCAAATTCCAGAGAGGGAAAAGTTCTTCCTAGATGAGCAGAGATGAGTGGCCACTTTCTAGTTTGGGGTCATTTGTCAATTCTGGACATGGGTGGGCAGAGATCAAGTCTATTAAAGGCAGAGAGATTCTGCTAGGATAAAGAGAATCTTCTTGAAATGTTCCCATTTGAAACTGTGGGCTACTATATTAAGAGATCTCGCTACCGTGCTGAGAGACCATGTAGGAAGGAAGAGACACCCAGCCAGCTCCCAGATGTCCCAGTTATCTTATCTGACATGTCAGATATGTGAGTGAAGCCACCTTGGATTTCTAGCCCCAGCTGAACTTTCTGATAAATGCTACTGTGTGATTCACTTCAGGGAAGACCAGCAGAAGAACCATTCAACTGTGCCCAGCCAAGATTGCAGAATAATGAGCAAATAAATGAAGTGGTTTCTTACGCTGTAATAGAAAATGAATAGACCTTTTATTAAGGTAAACAGATTAGAACGTGTTTGTGTATGTGTGTGTTTCAGTTACTTCCTCTCATATGCATGGTCTATGTAGTATTAGGAAAAAATATTGTATGTTAGTTATAATCCAAATAGTGAGAATGTCATAAACCACTAGGTTAATTCAACAGATTTCTTTATTGCATATACATATCTATATAATAAGACATGTTTTTATAATATACTGATATTACAACATAATATCAAAATTCTCTACTCTATAATTTGTCCTGTTATACATCTTATTTACAAAATCACTTGGTTCATTATGAAATGTTACCAACTGTTAAAACGAAAAGCCTGTGGCAAGTGCATCTTAAAAGTAAAATGTTTTTATATATAGGACCAAGGTGAGTTGTTTTTAAAGACATGTTGTTTGGTCTTATTCTTTTTTTCTTTATATAAACACTCATTCTCATGTATTGATGGGCACTGGGTTGTTTCCACATCTTTGCAATTATGTATCACGCTGCTATAAACATTCAAGTGCAGGTGTGTTTTTTATAAAATTTCTTTTTTTTCCTTGGGGTAAATACCTAGTAGTAGGATTGCTGGATCAAATGGTAGGTACTTTTAGTTCTTTGAGGTATCTCCATACTACTTTCTATAGAGGTTGCACTAGTTGCATCCACGCCAGCATCTGTTGTTTTGGGACTTTGGGTGGATCAATAAAATGTGGTATATGTATACCATGGAGTATTACTCAGCCATTAAAAATATGATAAACTAATACCTTTTGCAAAAACCTGAATAGAATTGGAGACTATCCTTTTAAGTGAAGTATCATAAGAATGGAAACAAAAACTGTATGTACTCACTACTATATTGAAACTTCTAGATCAACACTCATGTGCACATATGGTAGTAAAATTCAACGGAAATCAAGCAGGTGGGAGGCAGGAGGAGGAGACAGGTAAATCATACCTAACAGGTACAATGTACACTAAATGGGTGATGGATGCACTTATAACTTTGACTCAAACTGTTCAAAAGCAATTCATGTAACCAAAACATTTGTATACCTGTAATATTCTGAAATTAAAAAAAAAAAAACACTCATTCTCTTACTTTCATCTTTTTCAAAGGATTATTCAGCTCTCGCTGGAATGAAGCTGCTCTTCCTGAAAGGAAGGTCTGAAAGGCAACAGCCAACAAGTTTTCATACTTTTCAAGTAGTGTTTTATCTTCAGGAGGATAAATTCGTCTACAATAAAATCAGATAAACCAATTTGTTTAAAAGAAGCTTTCATAGCTCAATAGTTAAGATCAGCTGCACAGATAATCCTTGACTTCCTACTCTATGCCAGTCACATTACCAGGTGCTAGAAATAAAGATGAATACAGTCATGAGAAATTCATGAATTTTCATCTGTTACTCACACAAAGTAAAGTTTATCTAGAGAATTATCATTAAACAATGCAGTTCCAGAAGATACAAAGCAAGGGTTTGGTTGGGGGAAAAGGCCGGAGAAGAATGACAGTTGGACAAATTGGAGAAATACTGTCAGGTAATGACGGATAAGGCAAAAGTTTCTGACTTAGTGTGGTTACTGAATTATACAAGATTATAGGCATTAGTTCTGATGATCTCTTTTGTGGTGACAGAATTTGTCTCTCCAGTAGAGAGAATTGAGTAGAGGTAGGGAGGAAGGAATGCATTCTCATCACTACTATTGATGGTGTTAAGGCCAGGAACGAATATCTTACCATAGGTACAAGAAACTGTACCATCCTATGTTCCTTAATCCCGCAAGGGCAATGTCAAAGCTTGGGAGGATGGGCAATCTTTCCAAGAACTTGAGGAGCTTAGGGGGTTCCCCTTTGGATCCTATCAAGGGTGACATTGTGGAGGGGTTCCAGTTCAGCATAGTACACACCCTTCTCTATTGTCTCATACCTAGCTCCTCCAAACATTTTCATTATTTGCCTGGTTCCTGAAGCATTTGAGTTTTAAAACAAAGAACAGCAACCACAATTAGCAGGAAGAATACTAGCACTCCTGAATCCTGACTTTCTTAAAATACCACATTACAACTAAATACAATCACAGGACAATAGCTGGTTAAAAAGCCCTCCTACAGCCACCCCCAAAGGCAGACTAGCAGAAGCTCTCTCAATTCTGAACCATCTACTTGCTGACTACCTTTCCTGAAAAATATTGAGTAAAAAGCACTGTCTCTGAATGAAAGAACAGTACTTAAAATAAGCCTAAAAGGCTAAAAAAAAAAACACAGAAGGATTGCTTTGACACTTCACTTTTTCAATCTATACAAAAATGGCAGCACAATTACCTATAATTCCCCATATGTCGATTTTCATGTTCTTCTCGTGAGATCTGTTTTCGTACTTGAGCAAGTCTCTCTTTCTAGAAATAAAGAAATTTTACAAATAAAACCTGACAAATGAATCATCCAATTCAAACTGTGGGTGCTTTGTTAGAATTTTCATACCAACTCTTCTTTCCGCCTCTCCAACTGGTGTCTCTGCTGTTCCCAGTCTGAGGAACCTGGTAAGAGCCTTTTTATTGAATTTTGACCATAAAGCCTCCTTTGAGCTTCAGCTTTTTGCTTGGCCAAGTTTCTCCTTTTGTCACTGGTCCTAAAATATAAAACACAACTTCATATTCTGAAATTAAAACAAGTTCTGATCTCATCCCTGTGAGAAGAATGTACAGAAGAGGAAATATAGTAGAGATAGAATTCAATGTTTATTAAATTTATATATTCACATACATTACATTCATCTAACCAACCATCTAACCAGATATGGGACTCTGTATGGTAAATAGACATTCTGAAGATAACCAGATAAAATGGAAACTGTATGTTTTAAAGAGTCAGAGAGACCTAGTTTCATATTCCTTCCAAGCAGCTAACTACTAGCTATACAATCTTAGACTGGTCAATTAATTAATTCCTGAATTTTTTTTAACTGTTAACAGTAATATTTCCTTCTTAGAATTCTTACAAAGATTAATATGTGGTAACATTTATAGGTACTTAATGAATGTTGGTTCTCTTCTCCTTCTTCAACCAATTCCATTTATATTTAAAAACTCTCATTTATACTGACCACTCATGAATACATTTTTATTTCTGACCGAAATCCCAGCCTAACACAATCATCATTTATTAAAAAACATCTGCAAAGTCCTTCTCATTTTTTGTCCAATCATGAAAATCTAGTTATAACTCTCTGATTTTTATAGGACAAATCCTGTTGTGGGATGATTTTCCTCGGAACCCCCTTTTCTTTCTTCCCAGCCATGCTGGTGCAGTGAGATAAGCCTGAGGACTTTTCTCCTTAACCTCTACAACTTGCACTCTTGCATGAAAGACTGAGCAGGAACATGTGGATTCCAAAAGCCAATTCTGCCGTCACCCTTAGGAAAAAAGAGTTCTTATTCCTGAGCTTACATTTCCATGCCTTCTATTCTCACCACCCTGGTAGGGCCCAGAGAAGGGAGTAAACCAACACAGAGGAGACAAGAAGCTATTTGGCCAGCTTCTAGAGTGGAGAGGTTAAGAAGTGCTTAGGTTTACAAACTGCCCCACTCAATTCCTCAGGAGATTGCATTGAAAATATGGGGCCAAGGCCCTAGACAAAGGTGTTCTTTTGTCTCAAGTGCGTAGCACCTTTACAATGGGAACTTGCAGGAGTGTTACAAAACTGATCCCTTTTCTTTCATGACAACATCGAGGCTTGAGTGTCTGGAGTTTAACAGGTAATCAGGGTAGAAGGAATAATTTGAGAAAATAAATAAGCACGTCCAGAAAATTGCAAGTCATTCAGGACAGCTAGAGCTATGGGTGAATGCAAGAAACTCAGCTTATCATAAGGGCTTGAATACTATGCTATTGAACCTCAAATTTGACTTTAAGCAATTAAGGAGGGCATGAATTTTAAAAATAGGAGAGCATAATTATATTTTCATGTGTTAAAGATTATGCCCTTGGCAGTATGTACAGTGGCTTAGAAGTGGATGAGAAAGGAAGAAGGAAGTTAAGACAAGACACTATTTAATTAACAAATGTAAAATATGCGTGCCTGGACAGGGAAGCAGCAGAGGGATTAGAGGAAAAGGGTAAGTTTAGAAGACTATTTCTGAGGAAGAATGGATATGCTCTGATGACTAATTCAACGTGAGGAATAAGAGGGACGTACTTGCAATGCCACCAAGATTTCTGATTTTAGTGACTACATTGGCACTTCCAATGACTAACACAAACGAGGCTCTGAGTTTCCCCAGTTAAGGGTAAAGGAAATGCCATGTTTAGGTAGCTCTTGATTTTTAATTTTTTCATATCCATTTTATCTAGAATGATCATTTCTATACAGCATTCAGTTTAAAGGAAAGAAATGGAAAGAAAAGGAAAGGAAAAAGAAGGAAAGGAAAGGAAATAGAAATGAAAAGAATATAGAGAAAGACAGACCAAACAATCAATAAGGAAGAAAAATAGAGTGAGGAAGCAAAAAAGGGGAACAAAAGAAAAAAGGAAGGAAAAATAAAAAAGGCCTGAGATGCTATGAGTATTCTGTGAAAAAAATAAGCATAGATTTATATGCACATCCACAACAAACAAGACACTCCCAGACAAATATGCTATCACACAAACAGTTCAAACACACTCAAAGAAGAGTAGCAAAAGTAAGTACACACAGATGTTACTTCATATTTAGAAACGAAGAAAAGCCAATCACACTGAGACATTTTTCTAAAAAGGACTCTCCCATACTCTAGCCTTTAGGAATATTGTCATTCTAACAACTGTGCTTCCATGTCTACAAATACAGACATAAATTAACACTAAGGGCTCTCAGCACGTACATCACAGATCAGAATAAAATCTAACCAAAGAGCCAATGATTGCCATTCATTTAGGGTTTTAATTAGTGTTTCCATTTAACTGTATCCATACACTGACCTAAGGAGTTTTGTTTACCACTTTCTCCAGTCCTTTTCACTACTCATTACACCCAGGGATTCCATCCAAGGGACTTCTCTAACCACATACTTCACATACTCTGTGTTCCAATAATATGGAACCATTGGAAATTCTATGAACATGCTTTGCTTTATCTCACTTCCTTATCTTTCTACAAGCAGTTGAATGAAGTGCCCTCCCCCCCACATTGTCTTCAATATAAATTTTATTTATTACTCACTATATTCTAGTTCTCGATATGGCCCTGCGGACACAAAGAGAATCAGACAGGGCCATTGCTCTCAAGTAGCTGCCAGTCTGGAGGCAACAGCATATAAATAACTATGTAGGGTACAGTGAGTGCTATTTAAAATGTGATGGTAAATATGGTGGTAGCACAAGGGAAGAAGAAAATCACTTTGCGTTGGCAAAGGTTTCAAATAGAAAGACAGGCTTAGGCTAGGTTTTAAGAATGAGTTGACAAAAATGTGGTATACATGTACATACAATGGAATGTTATTCAGCCTTAAAAAGGAAGGGAATTCTGACACATGTTAGAAAATGGACCAACTTGAAGACATTATGCTAAGTGAAATAAGCCCATAACAAAACAACAAATATATGTGATTCCATTTCTACGAGATACTTAGAGTAAGGCACTCAAATTGTAGAGACAGGGAGTATAATGGTGGTTGTCAGGGACTAGGCAAGAGGGGAATGAGGTTAATGTCTAATGGGTATGGAATTCCAGTTTTACAGGATGAAAAGAGTTCTGGAGATCGATGGTAGTGACAGTTGCACAACAGTGTGAATGTACTTAATGTCATTGCCCCTTAAATACACTTAAAAATGGTTAAAATGGTAAATTTTATGTTAAGTGTATTTTATCACAATTCAAAAAAAACTGAGTTGACATATACCAAAGGGACAAAGGTGAATGAATATTTAAATGAGAACAAGTGCAAAGGCACATAAATGTGAAACAGCACCACAAAAAGTTCTTAGAAAAATCAATTCCAAGGCAGAGAAAAAAGAAGAACAAGAAGTGATAAGGTTGGAGAGAGATGCAAGGGCCACATCAAAAGTGTCTTGTATATAATCTAAAGATCAAAAAGTGCCTTGTATGTAATGTAAGGGAGTTTAAACTGTATCTGGCAGTGTGGAAACAATCTGATCAGCATATCGGAGTTTATAAATCTCTCTTCAAATGTTGGCACCCCTCGGGGCTCTGTCCTGGCCCATCTTCTCAAAATATGCACTACATTTGAAACACGGACTTCGGTGGGGGGGGGGGGGAACCAAGGGCAACACACGTAACCTAAACGTATGTACACCCATAATTTGCTGAAATAAAAAAAATAAAAAAAAAAAAATATGCACTACAACTGTGTGATCTCATTCATTAGATTCAACTGCAATCTATACACAGATGTCAATCAAATAGATATCTCTATCTCCTGGGGCTCTGTATATCAAATTTTCCATTTAACATTTTCTCAAAGCCCCTCAAAATTAGCATGTTTAAAACTGAATCACGTCTTTCTTTTTTTTTTTTCAGTAGGAGAAATATACTATCACTCAACCTCTACTGTAAGGTTGGCAGCCCTGAGAACTCCTTTTTTAATGTAGCATGCCATGAATGTATTCCTGCTCACAAACAAATGAGGAGTAGACATTTCCACATGCAATCTCTCTTTCTTTCTACCTTGCCCTATCACTTACTCCACTAAGCCTCTCTCTCTCTCCTATAGTCTTTATCTCATTGGATGGCACATTATCAAACAAGTCATCCAAGCTAGAAACCTAGAAATCATGGGAGGCTTTGAATTCCAAGTATCTACTGCAGCATTAGTGGACACTCAGTAAATGCTTGTTGAGTGATTCACAGAGCAACAGAGCAACAGAAGCTGCAAAATGGGGTGGAGATTAGTGCTAGAAGCAGGAAGAAAGCCAATAAAATAGTCCAGGAGGGAGATAAGTTGGCGATGAAAAGAAGAAATTAAGTGATAGTCATAAATCACTTTGACAATTTGATTGATTGGTAATAAAAGGAGTTAAGGATAACTCCCAGTATTCTAGCCTGGTCTTTTATGTGGATGGTGTTGCCATTAACTAGCAAAGTAAAGAAAAATAGAAAACTAGGTTCGTGTGATTATCATTGTATCATACTATGAGCATATATATTTCCCTCTTAATAACTGAACTACTTGAGGAGGAATTTTATTTATTTTTGTATCTCCTTTTAGTATCTCGTAAATACAGTAAATACATATGAATTATTAGATTTACACTTTGTGGGTGGAAGATATTTGCTATTGTTAGCAGAGAAAAGGTGATAAGCCCAGCAGAAAACATGATTGAAGGAGAAAATAATTCAACTTTGGTCATAGTGAAATTAAGTGTCATCAGAACTTTCATCCATTCATTCACTTATTTACCTGCTGGCTTGCTCACTCATTCACTGTGTGTTTATTGAGCACTTACTAGAAAAGAAGCATCCAGTGCCCATGGTCATCAGAGAGTTGTAAACGCAGGAGTAGGGTTCCAGAGTGGGTCAGAGATAGTGAGAGGCACCCCAGACTAGACCTCATTACATTCACATATAGATTAGGGACTCCAGGATCAGACTTATAAATGATGCCACAAAAGTGAATGAGATTGACATAGGAGAAAAGAGGGCTGAGGCAAGAACACAGTAAGAACAGAAAGTAAGAGAAACCACAGAAGCAGACAGAAGAATTACCAAAGTTAAGTGACTAGTGACCCAGAGACTAGTGTCAGAGAAGGCCAGCAAGGATAAATGTTCAAGGGCAGGGTAGCATTAAATGCTGCAAGCCTGTAGTTCATGAATCAGTTCTAAATAAGGGAAAGGTAATTTAATTTAATCTAATCTAATTAAAAAGTCTTTCAGACCTAGGGACTCATGGGACTGTGAATGTCTTTTCTAGACTCTATTCTGATGATTGTAATAGAATACTTACAGAGGAAAAAGACTCTTCTTATCAACCCAGGAATACCACCACAAAATAATTGGATTTTCCTTTTATTACAGTAAAAAAGAACTCTTACTTGTTCTACATATAGCCCCTTTCATGCTCTCTTGTCTCTGAAGACCCCAAGCCTAATTTTTCAAAAAATTACTTGAATCTGAACTCAAATCGTATCTGCCATCCAAGCACAAAGGAATCAATTCTAATCCGCTCCATGTGAGGTTCCTCATTCACAGCAGTTGTGATGGAACATCCTGAGCAATCTATATTCTTCCAAATGTCCTTGAGAATAAAAGCACATGTTTACAAAATGATCTTGGAGGTATACATGGAGCCATACCATCAGCAAAGTACTGTACTAAGAATTGTGAAGAATACAAAAGTATATAGTCTTCAAGGAGCTTCTTTCAACTTCTTTCAAACTGAAAAGAAAAATCAGCCATGCCCAGGAAAAACAGCACAGAGGGTAAGAGAATAAACAAAGTGATAAGCCACGTACAATGCAGACTATAATTCCTTCTGGAGCTCAAAGAAAGGAAAGATTAATCTGGACCAAAAGGAAGATATCATAATAAAAGATGGGATTTGAGTCACAGGCAGTAAGGAAAGACATTCAGGCTAGGGAACAGAATACATCATCACTACGAATGGGCAAGCTGTGTGGGAAAAATAATGAGATAATCAGCCTAACTAAAACAGTTTGGGTGGGAGAGAAATAGGAAATAAGATGGAAGAGCTAAGTAAGGTCAAGTTACATTATGAAAGAAGCTTAGGCTGGATGTTGGTAATAGAAATCTATTAAATACTTAGGTTCCCAAGCAGAAAGATAATGAAAAAAAGACCATTCCAATAGTCTGATTAAAATAAATGTAAATAGGGGGTTTCTGGAATCACAGAACAATTTGTTCTATATAAAATTAAAAGTCCATATGAAAATTAATCCTATAATATTTAATAAATGGAAAGAATTTTCCTCGTGTTCTTATTTCTTTCTTATGTTCCCATGATGTGCCCATCACAGACTTAGCTGAAACTCAAGTCTAAAACACGGGCTGGTGTTATTTCTGACTATGAATTTCACTGAAATTTCTGTGAAATTTCTGACTGCTTAGACTGTATATACCTCACTTTTAAAAAGACCAAAAACACCCACACATAATGTTCTGAATTGGTATCATCATTGGCAAAGTCAAAAGACATGCCAAAAAACAAAACAAAGAAAACAAAAAACTAAGCACAAGGCTTACTTAAACAATAATAGTAAACTTGTATACAAAAAAAAAATGTCTGGTATACGTATTGTTTAAATAATCTAAAATACCTAATGCACTTGTATAAGGTAAACAAAAAAATCCTCACTCTACACCTCCTTCCTTTCTACTCATTTCTTTTAGGATAATTGAAATATAAGCAGAATTTACACAAGTCAATCTTTCATCAGGCAAAAGAAGAGGCCATAAGAAAATTTCTGAACAGGTTTGTACGTCCATCTTTTTTTTTAATTGTGCTGCCCACATAAAGCTACTTCTTGATTAGGTGCCTGCTAAATGCTTGGAAACATCTTAAATTAAAAAAGTGCTTGGAAGCATCCCATAACTCTTCTAGAGCTCTTCAGTGACAATTAGAATAAATTAAAATCATAGAATCTCTGAGTTTAAATGACCTGCGTTCCTTTAATTCAACATCCTAAGCTCTGTTTTAGCACTTCTAATGACAGAGAACTTACTATTTCATGAAGCAGTTCAGTTAAAGGACTAAAAACTTTCTTTCATAATGAGCCAAAAGCTTTTCCCAAATAATAGCATTTCAAATATTTGAAATTCATGCACTGCAACCAGCCCTCCACCCACACCAACCAAGTCTTCTCTTAAATTTTACTTGCCTCTCTGTCTATACTTTTCAATGGGAAAGTTAATCCTCACTGAACAAGTGCCTCTCTTTTTTGCTTATGCAAGCAGCATGATATAGTGGGAAGACCTTTGGACAGAAAGGTAAGATATCCATAATTCAGACTTTTTATTTTCCTGAATGACTTCCTAGTGCTTTAGTTTCTTCTTGTAAGATGAGGAAGACAATTTAGAGGGTCTCCTAAAATATTCTCCAATGCAACCTCATACTCTATATTAAATAATTATGCCAACACTGTAATTTAATCACATTTACTGCAGGTACAAAGTATTAAATAGGAAGCAGGAAAAGCAATGTACAGGAAAAGGGGAAAAGGTATTTTTCTAAAAAAACCTATATGGGTTTAAAGAATGGAATCAAGAAATTAAAAATATAGAACATAAAAATACAAAAGATCACAAAAGCCAACTTCATGTACAAATGATTCATCTATACCAAATGTGGAGAAAAAATTCCAAAAGATGGAGGAAATACTTTACCTGATGTTTAGTAGCTTTAGTGCATTTAGCAACACTCCCCGTTTTACATCATAGTCTATTTTCTGATCAGTTCCAAAGCTCGGGGCCCGATTAATCTGAAATTTACAAAGAAAACAATGAGCGTAGCAAAATGTTGGAAGGTCAATAAATATTCAATACATATTTGTTAATCTAACATGAGATCTTTAGTCAACAGGACTCCACAATAAGTCTCAAAGCTTTGCACGGCCCAGTTACCGCTCCCCAACTCCGTTCCCCATCACCCTAGGCCAAGGAATTGCAAGGAGCTGACTGTTAGCACCACCATCTCCTTCCCCTGCTGCCTTAGTTCAGGGTCTGCACTGCCAGCCTTATCTGGCCTCTCGCTCCTCTCCACTCTCTCCAACCCATCACCCCATGCACTCTAGGTTTTCAATTTAGGGAAGTTAAAAGTGACTTATCTTGAGAAAAAGGTAATAGTAAGTGATATTCATGCAGCCAATATATTAAATAGTAATAATTCTATACATGTGTATATTTAAAATATAGATATTATCAGTGCCCTCTTTTCACTGTCTCAGATCTTTCTGATGAATTCATCTATTGCTGCCTAAAAAATGAATTTTGTTTCTCTCTACGTGGCTCAAATAATAATTCCTCAATTTTCATTTCAAAAGGAATTGACTACATTGCTCAGAAGATACCATTCAGGGAATATACCCTGAAATCCACTATAAAATACTCTACCACTTCAAGAGCTGGAGTTTTTGTTTTTGTCTTTGTTGTTGTTACGTTTTGTTGTTGTTATGAAAATATAGCGAATACCAGATGTTTAAGAAAATTACTTAATCAATTAAATCAGTGGGTTAGAACACTGCTGAGATAAAAACTACAGCTTAGCTTCTTGACCACCAACTAACCCCTTAGGCTATTGCCAAAAACAAGTGTGCTACTAGACTTCATTATACAAATCCACCATCACAAGAGACAAAACAACTGATAGCATGCATTCTACAGCTGACACCTGAGCAAATACCACTTTATACTCAAGAAACCATCCAGGAATACAAGGTCTCCAATTGGAATCGTGTCATAAATTCACTGCAAAATCATTAGTAAAAAGAAGCAAAAAACAACAAGAGATTACCTGTAATCCCACTTACTTTAGTGTATTGCTAACCATTTGTTAAATACTATTCCAGATATTTTCTATGTGTACATATATAAAATATTCACTTTACCTTTCAAATGCATGTCTATATTAATCATACTTTATTTTATAATCCAAGTTTTTCTCTTAACAATGTACCATGAAAATCTTTCATCATGCCATCATTTCGATGGATGCATGGTACTCCTTTTATAGAGATATGTCATGTTGTATTTTGACTCCTTTGTCGATTTCTGATTTAGAAGGTGATGGACATACTCCTGTCTTTCTGATGCAGTCTCACAGAGAGGAAAATAGCTTGAAAGTTGCAAGAACCCACATTTATTCTGGGTCAATAGGAGAAAGGGAGTTTATTAATCTGTTACTTTAAAGCTCTAAAGCACTTCCCCTTACAAGTGCAGTGAAAGTGTAAAGTAATATGCAAAAAATGTGACCATACTGATTCACATCTCTGGAATTTGTAATAGATAGTTTTGCTGCTACATGTGACAAGACGTATAATAAGCCAGACATTTAGGAGCTGATGATTAAGTGGTTCACTGGAATGTTATCTATCTTTACAGAATTCCTTAGGGGTTCTATTCCAAATTGCGGTCTGGAATTCTGCCAGGCGTATCTCTCCTCCAGGATGGTACTGAGATCTTAGTATAAAACAACCTCTCTCTCTCTCTTTCTTCTTACTTATTTCAAATTCTTCCCTCTACTGTAAAAGAAATTGATCTATGAAGAAATGTACCCACATAAGATAAATCAGTATGTAGAAATGCAGAAAAACTTTTTTCAATTTAGGTTATCATTGAAGGTTGTTCTTGCTTTTTTAAAAAATTTTATGAGAAAGGTAAAGAAAAAAATAAATGAAGAACCACAGATGGCTGCCAGAAGATACTAAAAGTTAAACAATGTTCTACACAGCCAAAATTCCCCTCCGCAATGTTGCTAGTTTCTTTGGTTCTCATTTCCTACCCTGATTCTAAAACAAATAAAACCCAGCAGATGTTAGAATCTTAAAATTCAGTAGTTTGTAATGCAAGCAAAAATGAAAATTATTAGAAAATATTTAAATCAGTGAATACTATTATTAACTTTTCAAAACAGTAGTTTTGGCAAAACAAGCACAATTGTTTTGTGCACATATCAAAGTATGCATAATAGATTATATGCGCCTAAGAAAGTGCTGTTCCCTCTGCCCCATGGCCTTCCCCTACCCCTACCTTATCTCTGCCAGCCCCTAGCCCCTATCCCACCTTCTACAGCCCTAAAAACTCTGTTCAGGTGTTGTTTCTGCAAAATTTTTTTTTTTAACTCTAAAATACACACATGTGCACGGATTAATCATGCTATTATTTTTGTGCTACTTCCATGTTTTCCTACTAATATTTATAATTATTACCATAAAACACACATCTGAATAACCACTAGTCCAGGGCAAGTATTCTTGTCTTATTCTTCTTGTATCCCCACCACCCAGCACAATAACTGTAACTTAGTACTGGTCCTTGTTTAATTTAAGGGTACTTAAAATATTGGTAGTATATTCATACTTTACCAAATTTCTGTGTTTTTCACTAAAAATGTTTTCTATTTTTGAAAATTTCGGTAATTTTGCCACTAACAATCATCACCTGAAATTATTGTAGTTAACTAAGTTTCACATTCTCAGAAGCACTTTCTACTTTATTCCACTTGATGGCGCCAAAAGGTTTTGAACAACGTGTATTAGACCCTCTACAATTTCAGCTCAGAGCAAAATACAAAGCAAGATCTAAATAAGGTTCTTTGACCTGTTTTAATATAATAAGTGTTCATTATTCATAGGCGTTTGTTACTATGGATTTTTAATGGTTCTGATTGATCTGGAAACGATGAAGGAGAGAATAAAGAATGAAGAAACATTCATGAAAACAATGGCATTTTGAGCCTTTTTAAAAAAATTCAGAATTCAACCATTCAGTCAATCTGATTCAGCAAGCTAATGGAAGCTCCAATAAATCAAATGCTTTTTTTAAAAAAAGGTAAGTAAGATATTGATAAAGTCATCATTCCCTACTATCCTCTTTATGCATGTGCCTTTACTTCTTCCCCACCCCATCACTGAGAAAAGACAAGTAATAGGGGTGCAAGAAAACACAGCTAAGAACAGGAAAAGATTACTGCAGAAAAAGTAATAAATCTAAGGAGGAAAATTTCAGGCCTTAGTAAGATGAAGAGTCTATAGTGCACAGTCAAGTGTTCTCATATGCAAGGAATGCAGGAAGCAATGGATAAGCAAAACTCCTCACATTTATGTTATCTCTAAGACTCAGGCTGGAGCAAAATTTGAACACCCAAAAGAGAGAACTATTAATACATTTATTTGGAGATAGAATACACACTATTTGCTCAAAGTAGATGAACACAAACACACACACACACCCCACACAGGTACATACACACAAAATCTTTGGCCCTCAAATTGGAAGAGTGTATAGTCCTAAAAATTATATTTTGGATATCTTTATCTCACCTATCGCTCATTTAATTTGCTTATGCAAACCTTGATAATACAGACGCAACTTCCAATTTCTAAATTTCACTTCAATTTAAAACGAAAAGTAGTTGTTAATTACATCTGCTATAGCAATTCCTTAAAATGTAAAGATTCAGTAAACACTGTTGAGATATGTGCTATGTTTCTGATAAAGTTTCCTAAGCACAGTATCTCAGTGGCCATGGGAAGGTTCTATGATCACAGAACACAGAGCTTGGAGGGAATTGCTGGAGGGGATCCAGACATGAGTTCTAAGGTTTCTTCTGGCTAACATAAATGTAAATACGACTGGAAGTATAAATATGGCAGGAAAAAATATAAAAATCTTAAACAGATAATATTTATTTTCTCCTTTATATTATTCCGCATTCATTAAGTGATATTTTATATAAAATCAAAGAAAAGTGATGATAACTCTCATCGTACCAGAGACTGGTAGCAAACCGGAAGGCATACAGTTGACAGGCTGCACATGGGGGGAGCCCCAGGCGTAGTTTGTGCCACTCGCAGTGCTGGATACTGAATACTGAACACTGACTAAGGAACCAATTGGAGCCTGAATGTGAAAGGGAGACACACTGGAGGCAACGTCTTGAGGCCCAGGTTCCCACACATGGGGGAGACAATCTCCAGAACTCATGAAGTCGTACAAGCCAAGAGGTTGAGAAAATAGTAGAGCAAGTAAGCAACAAATCAATAAAAGCAGCTCCACACTTACATTCAAAATTCCTGGCCTAGAACTTCATTCAATGCTAATTTGGTAAAAGTAATGTCAAACATATATTGATTCATTCTTAGAACTGTTCTATTCCCTGCATTTTTATTCTCTACTTCCCACATCCTCCATTCAGGCCTCATTCTGGTCAGTCAATGGAACAACTGGGTCAAGTACACATTTAAAAAACACTTCTTTTAATACACTACAACAGTGACACAGTCTCTTTCTTCTTAAAGAATGCCTTACCTCCAGAAGCCATGGCTTTAGTTTTCTGTCGAGCAAAATATCAAATCCCAGGACTTCAAAGCATACACTTTCACTTCCTGGAGGTTGGCCAGGTCTGCACATTCGATATGCATGCAAGACATGAGGTTCTGCTACAATCAGAGTCTTTACCACCAGTTCCTATAAAGATTGTGATAAAAGAGGTGAAAATGTCTTATTTCTTTGTATTTCATTTACATGTGTGCAAATATGACCAGGGCCTACACACCAGCACCCTGGCCAGGTTTACTAAGCTCTGTGGCTTCTGGCCCTGCCACTGCTCTGGCTTCATTCTTCACTCTCCCGTGCCCACTACGCTCCAGTAGTGCTTGCTTGCTTTGGGTTCCTCAAGTAAGTGGCACTTCCTCCTACCTTAGGACCTTTGCACTAGCTGTTCCTTCTTACTGGAACACCCGTTCCCCTATATTGCCATGTCTGGCTTTTTGATATTCAGAGAGGCCTTCCCCGACCCCCATCATTTCTTTTTTTTTTTTTTTTTTTTAGACAGAGTCTCACTGTGTTGCCCTGGCTAGAGTGCCGTGGCGTCATCCTAGCTCACAGCAACCTCAAACTCCTGGGCTCAAGCGATCCTTCTGCCTCAGCCTCCCAAGTAGCTGGGACTACAGGCATGCGCCACCATGCCCGGCTAATTTTTTATATATATTTTTAGTTGTCCGATTAATTTCTTTCTAATTTTAGTAGAGACGGGGGTCTCGCTCTTGTTCAGGCTGGTTTCGAACTCCTGAGCTCGAACGATCCGCCCGCCTCGGCCTCCCAGAGAGCTAGGATTACGAGCGTGAGCCACCGCGCCCGGCCTCCATCATTTCTTACTGTATCACTACACACTGCTACAAACAGCTGATATTTTTCTTTTTTCGTTAGAGCAGGGTCCTTGTCTGTCTTATTTACAATCCCATTACCAGTGCCTACAATAGTGTCTGGCATTTAAGAGATGTTCAAAAATATCTGGAAACAAATAAGTAAAATAAAAGTTGGTAAATATGGCTTCTCCTTGTTAAATAAGAGTTGGAGCATATGCTAACCCCATACAAAAGGGGATGGGGGTGATAGGAAAGGCACATTCCAAGGACAGTAAATTATTTCACAAAGAACAGTATAGAGTCTCCACTTAGACAAAGGCCGAAAGAGCTAGGAAGATAAAATCTATGAGAGTTTTTTCGTACAGTGATGATTTTGTAGTTCATAAGGTTTATCTGAGAAGAGTATTGCCAATTAAAGAACTGGTTACCAACATTTTCTGTGAGGAAGCGCATAATACTACTAGGGTGAGTTGTCAACGCTAATAAAAAAAGTCGTTTTACTTAAGTTTGAGAACAAGCTATGGATTCTGGAAAAGCTGTCTCACTGGTTTTCACTTTGAATGTATTGTCATTTTAACTGCCTCTCCACAGGTATAGGCAATACAGAAGGGCAGCTACGAACTTGGCTCTAAAGTCAGACTTCCTGGGTTTATTCTTGGCTTTGATAATTTCTAGCTGTGCAACCTCGGTCATGTTGCTTAAAGTTTGTGAGTCTTATTTTTGCTAAATATAAACTGCAAAAAAGGTTGATGTAAGAACAAAATGAGATTCCAAGTAACACTCTTAGCATAGTGCCTAGATCACAGTATGCCTACAGTAAGTATTAGCTACTTAACATTAACTTAATGTTATTGTTATTCTATCACTCCTCTAGAATTCCACCTCATATGTCAAGTCAGACACCAACATTCCACTATCTGGTGGGAACAATATTTATTATATGGGGAACAAAAGGGGAAAACGAAGTTAACATTGTTACCCAGAACCACAGCCCAGTTCACATTTGGGGATAAGTATCAGAGATCCCATGAGAGGTTGTTCTCAGGTACTTTTGTTCGAGTTAACAAATTCATGATAACACCATAGCATATAAAAAACAAAAAGTGACTTCATATAATCTTTGGAAATATTACTGAAACCACTTGAAAGTAGGAAAAAGTTTAACTAATAAGTATCTGTGTGAAACAAGTCAGGTTGAAGGGGAAAAGTGAATATTAATTGACCCTGAATTACAAACCTATGTTTTTGCTACATAGAAAACACCACACTTTTAAGCTGTACAGGCAAGATTGCAAGTGGATGTGAAAAACAAGAGCAATACAACCTAACACAAATGAAATTCTGCTACAGCTTTTGAGAATTTCCAACATAGTGTCACTGCTTTGAAATATGATTTGTAGATTTATACCTTAAGTATATAAAAAGCATTCAGTAGAGGAAGTTTTTTTTTTTTTTTTTTTTTTTTTTTTTTGAGACAGAGTCTCACTCTTTTGCCCGGGCTAGAGTGAGTGCCGTGGCGTCATCCTAGCTCACAGCAACCTCAAACTCCTGGGCTCAAGTGATCCTCCTGCCTCAGCCTCCCAAGTAGCTGGGACTACAGGCATGCGTCACCATGCCCGTCTAATTTTTCTATATATTTTTAGTTGTCCAATTAATTTCTTTCTATTTTTAGTAGAGACGGGGTCTCGCTCTTGCTCAGGCTGGTTTCGAACTCCTGAGCTCAAACAATCCGCCCGCCTCGGCCTCCCAGAGAGCTAGGATTACAGGCGTGAGCCACCGCGCCCGGCCAGTAGAGGAAGTTTTTTGAGTGATTGTACTTATTTTTAATCTCCATGGCCTGATTTTCTATTGATTTCTTATTCATTCTTGACCACCACAAAAGCACACAGCTCTGTTTTTCACAGAGGGTATTGATGAATGTTAGTTTTCATACATTGATAGTTACTTTTTAGGGAAATTACCTCTAAAAGAGGTCACTGAAAAAAAAAAGTCCTAAGTTAAAGTAATGGAATTTATAAACTAAGACATTAAGATAAAAAGTTACTGCTTAATTGCCTTCTCCAACTCCTCCTGTCATTCTTTTTATATTATCCCACTGATGCACCTTAAACAGTTATCTATATAAAGTATACTTGTTCCTAATAAAGAAAGGAAATTTTCAGATAATTACATAAATGCAGAAAACTTGACAAGATATTTATAATAAAATACTTGATAAAGTTAGAAGATTATTGTTATTTAGCTGGTTATTTATAGATTATTAATATACATTTGAACACAGCCAAGAATGATGCAAGATTTATCCATTTATAGCCAAGACTACAAAATGCGTCAGAGCTTAACAGGTCTACATTGGCCATATTTGGGTCATATCTAAAATTTATACTTAAGGCTCCGGAAAAGTTAATTTCCATAACCTCTCATTAGTATTAGTCTTGCTTATATACCTTCTCTTAATTCAATTGTGTGGGGAAAGTACCACTTCAAACCAATGTGTGTAAAGCTAACGATGCTTATTTTTCTCTTGATTCTCTTTGTACGTTCCTCACTAAGGCTGCCCAACAGGTTCCACCTTTACACAAAGACTTCCCCAAAGAACCAAACCCACATGGAAGTTAAAATATTGGCAAAGACATAAAAAGATGCCAGAAGGTACCTAAAACTTTCTTGAGCCCACTGATCTATTGACCAATTCATTAAATCATCCGAGCATCATCAGATATGATCTTCCATCAATGAACTACCATCCAAAAAATTAATGAATTTTACCATTTTGATGCTTCTGACCCACTATGATAGTAAACTGTCATTATTAGAATAGTTTTTGGAATTTCCACAAAATTGGCCTTAAGGAAATAAATGGATAAATAAATACACACTGGATTGTTGTAATCAAATTTCTCATTTAGGTGTATTTAGTCTCTCAGGAAGATATGATAGAAAGTTAACAAATTGGTGGGCATCTGACCAATATATATGACAAACATTTTTGGTGACAAACATTTTTTAAATTTTTAAATCCATTGCTGACATTTACAAATCATTTATATTGTTTATATAATTTACAAATCATTTATCAACCAATTAGAAGAATGAGACACACTGGGGTCAAAATACCATGTGGCACCAATAGGCTGGTGCTGAATGGTGGCACCCCTTTCAGACCTCCTATGCTTTCCAAATGACCACAGTTCCCAGCACAACCTATTTTCTTCTATTCAGACCACTTCACTCCTTGCCTGACACCTGAGGACCTTAGGATTTACACCTTGTGATACAGCATAGTAAGGTAAAAAGATTAATCAACAAAAGGATAAATACCGTCATGTGTGAAGTAACAACATAGGTCAATGACAGACTGCATATATGAGGGTGATCCCATAAGATTATAATACTGTACTTTTACTGTACCTTTTCTATGTTTAGATATATGTTTAGATACACAAATTATTATAATTGTGTTACAACTGCCTACAGTATTCAGTACAGTAACATCCTGTACAAGTTTGTAGCCTAGGTGTGTAGCAGGCTATCCCACCTAGGTTCGTGTAAGTGCGCACTACCATGTTCGCACAAGGGCAGAACTGCCTAATTACCCATTTCTCAGAATGTACCCCTATCCCAAATGGGGCATGGCTATATAGTGATGCTGATTTCTCTCCCTGATCCTCCCAATAGGAGAGAACCATGTTCAAACTTTGAACTTTCATTGCCATCTTCCATGATAGATTTGTTTAAATTATATATTATTCGTCCCTAAAGGAAAGTTAAATTGAATTGTACAGCCCTAATCATAAATTTTCACCACATACTCTTCTGTAACTTTAAATACCATTTTAATACTTCTGCTAGGATTGATAAAGAGTCTGCTTCACCAAAGTTATCTTCTCACACCTGTTTACTTTTCCCTTTTTACCCTCGCCATTTAGAATCTCATTTACTGCCATGGCTTTAGTTATCGACTGCACCCTGGACACACTTTTAATGGCCTGCTTGACCTTTCTTCCTGACACGGCATTTCGAGTTCAGCATATCTAATGTGGAACTCGTCGTCATAGCCTAGCAGACCTTAAAAACCTCAGTTCAGGTGTCAGTGTCTCCAGGAAGTTCCTCCTTTGCTCCTGTCCCCACCCATGCCAAGCCACTACATGTGGTCTTCTCCTCCATCCCCACAGAATCCAATGCATGCCTCTGTTGTTGTATTTGTTCCATTGCATTTTATTAACAATTTATGTGTGTTTTTTTACTACTAGACTGTAAATTTTTTCAGGACTGGAGCTGTGTCTTATAAATCTTCAAATTATCAACCAGAGACAGGCTTATTTCAATAAACATTTATTGAATGAATAAATGAGCAAATAAATTTATAGAATTCTTTTCCTTCATCTTCAAAATCAATCTCTCCATCTTCTTAAAATAAATTCCTTCCTACTCTATTTCAGATTATGCCATACCCATTTTCCCACAATTCCTGTTTAAAACTTCAGAGGGATCTCTGAATACTTCTTCCCCATCCTGGGCATTCAGTTAATCGCAATGTTTACGTCATTATCACCTCTTTTACTGGGGTTCAATTCAGGTCATTCTTTTCATTAAACTACTTATAGGAACCTCCAAATGCCCTGTCCACCTGCACTTGGTCTTCAGTCTAATCCATACTATACCCATTTTCAGATTTATCTTTTAAATGAATAGTTTTTGGTCATATTACTCTCCTCCATTAAAAACTGAATGAATCCCTATTGCCTCCCAAGTTAAGTCTTGCTTTTCAAACCTAAAATGTGGCTCCACATATCCTTTCAGCCATAAGTCCTCACAAAGCTCCCACATACCATATGTGACAACCTGCGTCACGATTCTTGTACCTCTATGCCTTTACTTATGCTTTGGTCTCCACCTAAAATCCCCTCTCTCCATCCCAAGTAGTAAAAATTCTACTTATCAAGGTTCAACACAAGTCTACTTCCTTCATGAAAAGATTCTTTATCTGCCCAATCTAATGTAATCTGTTCTTTATTTTAAAATGCTTGATGGTGCTTTAAATTAATGCTGAGGAAAGACAGTCATAATTGTGGAATAATCTTACTGAAATATCACTCCAAAACTTAGCAACATCATGTTGATTTGCTTGTAGGAATTCTGTAAACCATTTGATGGAACGTTTGCTGCCTTTATTTTCAGTTTCATCCCGTTCAAAACGCTCATTATGCTTGTTCACCGAGTAGTTTGTCAGATGCATATATAACTGGGTCTGTAACAAGTGAGAACCAAAGTTGTTACCACCTAGGAGATTGTAGAACTGTGAACTTTCACAGAACAGACAGCAGTCAAAAACTAAATTTTAAGTTTAAACTATACATATTGACAATCTCATGGTTATTTAGAAAACATTCAAATTAAATAGAATGACACATTTCCTTAAAAGGATTGAGAATGTAATCTTCTACAGAGTTATTTTATATATTATTCAAAATATATCTACCACAAAAAAGTACCAAATTAATAAGAACATAGCGAGTAACTAAAATGTGAAACTACATACTATCAAGCAAGAAAAATGCTCTGAGTTTGTTTTTGTTAGTTTGTATTTAATGTTTGGGGCCCTTACAGTTTTCACCCAAATTTGTTTTGGGAAAGGAATTTTCTGAGAGATCATTCTATGTCTTTTCAAAGAAAATAAAAATGAAAGCTCAAGTAAATAAACTAAGAAGCAGGACAACCAAACAACTTCTGCACCCCCATACTGATTGGTAGGCCCCTTTAACTCCTTAACAAGACAAAGTGCTCTTAAAGTCAGCAGACAGTACACCACCTACTAGTGTACGTATGTCCAGATGATTAACAGTAAATGTATAGTGCTCTACACTGGGGCTCTTACATTTTAGTCTTTTTATATTCTTATGTTTGATGATACTATTTTCTTCAAATAAACTTAAAAAAGAATCCAAAATTTAACACTTCTCATAATTGTCAATTAATATACCTCTAATGACTCTTTATCAAACCAGCATAAACATTCATAAAGTCTATCTTTAATTCCTAACTACCTCATGATCCTAAAGATTACCTTGGATAGCATTGTTGCATCACATGAATATACATTTCATACACATGATTATTATTTTCATTTCTTAATAACTAACTATATTCATGGCATATTTTATTTTCACTGCAGTTCCTTAGGTCTACAGTATTGAAATCTTTGAAGCAAGTAGACAGAAATGATAATTTGAGTTACTCATTTATTATTCCAAGTGCTTACCACTAATTAAAAATTTATTTTTTTATGCATTAAGCAATATTTAAGGAGCATCTACTATCTGCAGGAATTTGTGCTGGGCACTGTGGATACAAAGATGAACAAAACAGACAAAGTCTCTATCCTTATGAAACAGAAAAAGCTTTAAATTAAGTAATACTTAAAAGAAAGAGCATAAATCTTCTGCTTCCCTAATTTTCAGTGCTTAATCTAAGAAAAAAGAAATTAATCAAACTATAACATTTCCTAGTTCCCAAAATATAAATCTTTAACTTTAAAAAAAATGCAGTTAGAAAATAATTTTTTTGAGGAACTCCACAATTGGAAAGAATTTCTTAAAATTAAGAATGGTAGTAATAAAAACACTAGCTATTTTAGTGAATAAGTGAGTAAGTAATGGAACTTTGTATTTTTCTTAAAACATTATCTTTGTTAAGTGTGACTGGAAATTTCACAGTCACATATCTACCTTGACAAAGATCCCCTTCTAAATAATTCACTTCCAGGTAATCATTTGCCATAAACAGAAGTGAAGGCAGCTATGAACGGTATAGCAACCTGCAAGGGTGAAAATGATATAACCATACTCCACCACGTTCTTCAGCATATAGGCTCAATATAATAAATTGGTATATATTAATACAAAGGTTTTCAAGGATTGGCCGACCACTACATTGGTAGCAAAAAACGAATGCTTATTATATATTTCAATGTTTGAAATTCTCTGTCATATAATCTCCCTATATGTAGTTTATGAACATTTAATTCTTACAGAAATACATGGTGCATTCAAAAATACATGCTCATTATTTTAATAATTAGAAATAGAAAAAAGGAAAAAAAATGCAGCAAGCTGCCATCCATAACAACCAACAAAAGCGATTTGGTTTATTTTTTCTAGTTTTTTCTTCTTAAACTTGTCTTTCACATAATTGTGGTCTTACTTTACATACAATTTTGTATTTTACTTTATTTTCATATCTCAACCTAGGAATTTAATCATGAAGTTTTAGATATATGTGAGGGATATTGACACTCATGTAGGAGAACATCTTTATCTATATATGTGAAAACCAATGTAAGGAGCTTATGTGCTTCAATAGCACTTAGCAGAGTAAGACCTGGAGGCTACATTTCCTTTCTCCCAATCTCTCAGTATCATTTCCTAACCCAGTGGACTTAAGCAAACTATATAACTTAGGATATTAGAATAAAGTACTTCGTCACCTGAAAGAACTTCCAAGTCTTACCTATTCAAATATCAAAACATCAAAATATCAAAACATCATTACTGCCTTATATAATCTACTCTTACCCATTCCATTACTTAAATTATAATCTATAAACAGACAAGTGTCAAATCATGCCTGTAGCTTAGATCTCTCTTCTGAACTTCAAACCTATACTGTGTATCCAAATGCTGACAGAATAGATCCATTTGGAGGCTCTACAGGCATTTAAACTGAACACATCAGCTTTCCACAAAATCTTTCACAGCTCCTGTATTCCCTTTTCATAGCGAATAACGCCCCATCCACCCCACTGTCCAAGCCAAAAATCTGAGTTTTATTCTTGATTTCCCTCGTTCTACAAATCCAACCTATAACCATTATTATACCAATGTTATCCACATTATCTTAAATGTATCTCAAATTCATGTTCTTATTCTGAGCCCAGCCCCACTACTATTATTTCAATTTAAATCCTTTTTCCTTTCATATGTGGTCACACCAGACACAGCCTCTTGTCTCCCTTACTCTCATCTTTCCCATCCATCACTACCCCCATGTCAGACTCCCCACATTGCAGATCAGGCGGATTTCCTAAAACTTAAGTCTCATTCCTTTTTTCCTTTGTTTAAAACCTTTCAATGTTTTCTTTCATCTTAAGTTAAATTCCAAAATCCTAGACATGGCCTACGAAGCCTTGAAAGATCTGGCTTCTGGGACCCTCCATCCTCATCTCTGAACAGCCATCCCCTGCTTACTCTGGTCTTTAGCCGAACTGAACTTCTCTGCTTTCTCCAGACATGCAACTTCGGAGCCATTCTTTTGCCTGGTGCTCCACCCTACCCCCACCCACCTGGCTAACTCCTGATTATTCGGATCTCAATTTACTAACACTGCCATAGTACCCTCAGTTTCTTAGGCCATCACACTTACCATCAGGTATTATAATTGCTTATATTATTTTCTGACTCCCCACTAGACTTGCTTCTCTGAGGTCAAACACTGTATCTGTCTTGGTCACTGTGTTTCCAAAACCAGCACAATGCCTAGAACGTAGTAGAGTTCAAACATTACTTGGTGATTGGCTACATCTACACCTTATGACCTTTAATGAGATGTTTCTTTCTCTTAATTTCCTTTCCAATGAAAAATTTGACAGTTCCCTTATTCTTCCTTTGCTAAGTTTATAACACTTCTCAGTTTATTGAATACAGGAACAATTATGATCAGCTATTATTTAATTTTGAAAATATGACCACTCTTAATGGCGTTAATTGTATACATAATACTGGGGGAGAACAATAACCTGGCCTTTGACATATTGGGAAACAATAATTAATTGTAATTTTTACTATAATCAGTAGGTTTAAAAGTAGGGTTAGAGGTTAACTAAATTATAGTTTGACTTTCATAAATTATAAATTACAGATATGATTTCATGATAAATTACAGTTATAACTTTCATGAATAGTTACAGTTGCACAAAGGAAACATAATGAAAAATATCTATAAAAAGCTCCATTTAATAGACTTTAAAATGCACATTGAAACTGCTAATTTATGTTTTGACTTTACATTTGGTCAATGTAAATTTACAACCTTAATTCTCTTTCATTCCAACAGAAATTAATTACTCTACTTAATGATAACTTTTGCTTTTTCTGTTTCATGTACCTTCTCTCACATTCTGCATGTTTACACTCTATCTTTTATACAAATGCCACCTTCTCCATGAGGAGCCAAACACAAATTGTCCCAACACTCAGATCCATAACATTTTATATGTACTTCTCAATTAAATATTATTATTATTTATTTCATAGTCATTTTTATACAGAGCCACTGTATACAGATGTGTGTTCTGAAATCCAACCTTGTGCTCACAGCATCTAGAGGGGGGACCTTTTCCTAATTAGCCAGCTTAGAGCAGACACCCTTTTTTCTAATTTTCACAAAGCTGCCTATAAATTAGAAGCAGTTTTATATATACATGTGATTCTTCTAGACCATGAAAACCTGAGAAAAAGAATTTTGATTCATGCAATCTTTATGCATAATAGGTGCTTAAAAAGTACATGTTGAACAAATGAATGAAAACTTGCATTCTTTTGATATGACTTACCAAATTGGACTCATTAGGTGGAATGTACTTCTCTGTTCCCATTCGTACAAGTCCATCATGGTAGAGAAATATTTTTAATGGATCACATGATGTTACCAGAATATAAATTCGTAAATCAAACTTGTAACCTTCCATTAGGAAAGGCTTTTCAATATATTCTTGAACAATCAAATGATCCTGAGATGGAAGTTTGTCGCCATTTCTTATCAAAGAAATCCTAAGGTTAAAAAAGTAAAAAGAATAATTTTATATGGAGGCAAGATATTTAAAAAGTTATAGATATATTCAAGAGGAAAATATTGGAATAGAGGAACCCCAAAAGTCTGTCCTTTCACAAAAGCAAGGAAGAGCAAAAAAATTTAAGAATCAACTTTTTGGAATCCTGGAAACGAAGCAAAGGCTTGCAACAACCAGAGAACACTTAACTAAGAAAAAACAGCTGAATCTGTGTCAAAGAGCTTTGTAGCATTATAATTTAATCTAGTCCTATCAACCACTCCCATCTCAGTGGGTGGCCTTGAACAACAGCCTGCATTCTCAGTACAGGTAGCAATCTTGGAGGGGGCAGAATGGACCTTATTCTTGTGGTTGTTTGTTTTGACTTTTCTACCGGCTCCCTGGAGGATCTCAAAGAGCTTGCTTTTATCCTGTCTAACTTGGAACTCTACCAGTGATGAGGAAGCTACCTTGAGGGACAGTTGCTGGAAACATTTAAAGGCATATGTATTAGTCCCTAGTGTTTAGGCCCAGGCAGCAGTTGGGGCAAACAAGAGACTAATTAAAAAGACTAGGAAGAAAGGTTGGAGAACGAGAATCTTCAGGACTTTGAAAAGCTCTGACATATTCCTGGGAATCCAGAAGACCATGTGTATGCCCAGCGCTAGGTGCATGTTCAAGAAAGATCTGGTAAGGCCCTAAACGTCTCACCTCTGGCTAACCATCAGACTCTGCACAAGCAGGAAGTGAAGGCTGAGGCAGAGTTGTAAATTGCCTGAGTGTTGAATGCATGCACCTAACAAACAGAGCCCATCTTCAAAGATTGGGAGATTTTGTTGTTATTTGTTTGTTTTATTACGAGTGTTTAAGGAAACCTCTGTCCACGTTCTAGCTGACCACTTAGCTAGCAGAACAGGAACTTCAGTGGTCATACACAATAAAGAATACAGACTTCAAAAACTTAGTTCAGAAGGGTTACTAAACAAATAACTACTACAATGAGCAGCAAAAACAAACCACATAGAGGGGGAGAGTTTTATTTCCAGAGTTGCTACATTATAATATTCAAAATGTCCAGGTTTCAAAAAAAAAAAATCAGGATGCAAAAGAAAAAAGAAAGTATGGCCTACATACAGGGAAATTATCAATTAAAAGAAACTGTCCTTGAGGAAGCCCAGATACTGGGCTTACTGGATAATCAACTATTTAACATTCGTTTAAAGAGCTAAAGGAAATCATGCACAAAGTACTGAAGGAAACCATGAGAACAATGTCTCATTAAACAGGGAATATCAGTAGTGATAGAAATTATTTGGCAAAAAAAAAAAAAAAGTAACCAAACAGAAATTCTGGAGTTGAAAATTACAGTAATTGAAATGAAAAATTCAATAAAGTGGCTAAATATTATATTTGGGAAGGCATAATCAGCAAAGTTGAACATGAACTCATTGACATTATCTAGTCTGAGAAACAGAAGAAAAAAAAGAATAAAGAAAAATGAATACAGCCTAAGAAACCTGTGAAACACCATCAAGTGTAGGAACATACACATAATGGGAATCTCAGAAGTAGCAAAGAGAGAGGAAAAAATCAAAACAATATTTAAAGAAATAATGGCTTAAAACTTCCCAGTTTGATAAAACACATTAATCTACACATCCAAGAAGCTCAATTAACTCCAAGTAGGATAAAGTCAAAGAGATCCACACCAAGATAGATAATAATAAAATTGTCAAAGAACTCCAGAAAGGTGACTACGTAGTTAAATATAAAAGTCACTATTAGTGAACTTTTGGTTTGTAACCCCTCATTTTTCCTAATTGACTTAAAAAACAACTGCTAACACAATAGTTAAAAATCTAGGCTGATTGACACAGAACAAAAACAACACAAAAGGGGTGAATTTACATAAGAACAAAGTTTTGTATACCAGTAAAACTAAGTTGATATTAATACAGACTAGATTGTTATAAATTAAGATGTTAATTGTAATCCCAGGGAATAATTTTTAAAAATTCAAATATATGTAGTAAAAGAGATGATAAGGGAATTAAAATAGTACACAAGAAAATATCTATATAACACAAAAGAGGGCAGTAACAGAGGAATTGAGAAATAGAATCTATGTAAGACACACATAAAACAAATAGCAAAATGGCAGAAGTAAATGATTCCTTTGCAGTAATTACATTAATGTAAATAGATCAACTCTCCAATTAATGGCAGACCTTGACAGAATGGATAAAAAAAACATGGTCCAACTACAATATATACTATCTACAAGGGACTTCCTTTAGAGTCAAAGACTCAAATAAGTTAAAAGTGAAAGGATGGAAAACATATTGCATGCAAACAGTAACCTAGAGTGGCTATCCTAGTATCAGACAAAATAGACTGTAAGCAAAAACTGTTACAAGAAACAAAGAGTGACATTATATAATGATAAAAAGTCAATTCATCAAAAATATGCAACAATTATAAACATCTATGCCCCTACCAACAGAGCTCTAAAATATATGAAGCAAAACCTATAGTATTGAAGGAAGAAATACTTTAACAATAATAGTTGAGGTCTGCAATACTCCACTTTCAATAATGGATAGAACAACTGGACAGAAGATTAGCAAGGAAACAGTTACATTCAACAGACAAGAGAGGTGTCCCTTATCTAGGCACTATTGCATTACATGAAATAAAGCCTGGGAACACAGAATGTTCTGTCAATTATCTGCTTTTTCCAGCTATGTTTTATATCATCAAAAGAAATTGGA